ATGACAACCAAATTACTGGGTTTGATTGTTGATAATCCATGATGTGAAGGTGTTAAGGGTGAAGAGCAGCCTCATGGCAGCGATCGACCGCCAGTCTTAGCCCTACTTGATCCCAGCCCAAAATAAAAATTTAAAGAATTCTGAGGGGAAATCATCCTGCTTATCGCAAAATCCAAGGTCCAACAGATAAATTATGACATTGGCGTACTACTTTGTCCAGTGGCCAGACAGAACACGCGTCGGAGTTGAAGAGACTGCGAATTTTTGTGACGAGAAAGGCATATACAATGGAGCCTCTGGTGACGAGTGGCCCGACCTACGAGCACTTCAGGTAACGAGCGAACAACTAACAGAATATTTGCTTCGATTGACGAGCTTCCACTGAGTTACCGAGTTGTCAGTGCGTGTGCATGCCTATGTACACCGTCGAGTGTTGCTCCCAGGGTTTGGGTCCTCGGTCACCTGCAGCCAATCAATGAACTGATGCAGTTTGATAGGCCGTTTCGCAAGAATAGGGTTTCACATGAAAAGCTCCGTGCCGGAACGAATTAAACTCGTTAACGGAGGTTCCATTAGAGGAGAATATACGAGTTCCAGGCAGCAGTTCCGAAGAAGATGTGATCACTGGACCATGGATTTTATTTTCCTGACGTTTCGGATTCCGTCGGGAATCCTTAGTCATAGGTAACGAAGAACAGTCTGAAACATGCGCAGATAGGGTTATACATGCACAGATAACACGGTATTTATAGTTACTGTCCTGACGTTTCGGATTCCGTCGGGAATCCTTAGTCATAGGTAATCGTAAGATCTGAGACATGCGCAGATAAGGGGTGATACATGCACAGATTGCACGGTATTTGTACTTCACAGTGGTCATCCGCATGTGTTCTGTAATTGTCCAGTTCTTGTGGCCACCACCTGAGATCCTAGCATCATTGCAAAACCAATTTTCCCCCATGCATGATCGCTAATGAGAATCAGAGGGCAGGTTACACACCAGAAGCAGCATAATTAGGAGGCAAACAAGCTAAATAGCAGACAGGCTTCCGGTCATACGCTGCCCACTAAAATTAACTTAATTAAAGAAAGACAGCATCCCCAAAGAGGGGGGAGGGGGAGGGGAGAAACGCACTTGACCCTTTTCGTTGACCTTCATGTTGAGACTGCGCAGCTGTCGTTGTCGCACCTCCTTTGCTAGACGCCGGTTGCGCTGAACGGTCTGCTGGCGCAAATCCTTGATTTCCCGAATCACGCCGGCGATCGAGAGGCGGGAGG